ATGTCCCGTGTCTGTCCTGGTCTGTCCCGGGTCTGTCCTCGGCTCAATCCAATCCTCAGCGACCTCCACAACAAACAGCGGCTCTTCTGCCTCCACGTATCCGCCTGGCGCGCGTCGATCCAGGGGTGGTCTCAGCGGGAGGAGGCGCTGCTTTGAACCAGATGGATGTGTTTCATTATAGCGGGTTTGACAGCGGTGGATGAAGGTATTCCAGAGGAGAGAGTACAACAGTATCACCTGCTTTAGCCTGCTTTAGCCTGCTTTAACCTGGTTTGGGGGTTTTGACATCGACGACTCAGCGAAATCAAGGCAGAGAGAGAAGCAGATGTAGGATTCTGTCACCTGTTTAGTCCAGCTCTGTCTGTGTCTCTCTCTCTGTGTGTGTCTCTCTCTCTGTGTGTGTCTCTCTCTGTGTGTCTCTCTCTCTGTGTATCTCTCTCTGTGTGTCTCTGGCGATAATTCCCGCGAGATCAATCACATAGTCTCCTCCATGCGACGTGTGTGGTCTGGTTTCTCCCCGGTCTCTCTCTCTGGTCCCTCTCTCGTCCCTCTTCCAGGTCTCTCTCTCTTCCCTCTGCCTGAGCTCTCTCTGGTCCCGCTCCTTCTGGTCTCTCCCTGGTCCCTCTCCTTCTGGTCTCTCCCTGGTCCCTTTCTGGTCTCCCTCTGGTCTCCCTTTCTGGTCCTCGCGTTTTCAAACCAGGGGAGAAGCGGTTGTCTCTGGATGCGTGTCTTCCTCCGTCCTCCGCGCGACACCGACTGGCTCGTGTCGTGAACGAGCGTACACCGCCAAGGCTCGCTCCCGCGGCCCGTCGTGCGCGCGCTCCGCAGTGTCCTATCCCAGTGCGCGCGAGAGAGAAGAGCCGGTCGTCCCTGGCAACGCAGTCTCCCTGACCTCAATATGCGGCTGCTTTGATGTTCAGGCTCAGGATGGGACGGTTTAGGGAAGAGCGATGGTTAAAAATAGTAACGGCAGGACTGCTGCGCGTGCAGGGTTTGGATGGAGGGGGAGAGGGGGGAGAGGAGGGAGGAGAAGTTTAATTGTCGGCATCCCTCGCGCTCAGTCTCGCATCCAGCCAGACCTGCATCACGGTGACGTCAGAGGGCTTTAAAGAGACACAAGGGACCTGTGTGTATGTGTGTGTGTGTATGTGTGTGTGGGTGTGTGTGTGTGTGTGTGTGTGTGTGTGTGTGTGGAGAGAGAGAGAGCAGCTTCAGGGACAGACTGATCCACCTCCATAGGTCCTTGCTTTCTGCTGCTGTCAGACTGCACAACAAGAATTGCTAAAGAGAGCGAGAGAGAGAGTGTGAGAGAGAGAGACCAGATAGACCAGAAGGAGAAACTAGGAGGAGAGACCAGAGAGAGACAAGAGGTTAGACGTGTTGCTAGGACGGTTGCTAAGGCAGCTGGAGTTTCCCCCCTCCTCTGATTGGTCGGTCCTTCTATGGCTCAAATCTGGATTTACAAAGAAAATATCACAATATAAACTTTAGCATCACAGAGAGAGAGACCAGAGAAAGACCATGAGAGAGACCAGAGAGTGACCAGAGAGAGACCAGAGAGAGACCAGAGAGAGACCAGAGAGTGACCAGAGAGAGACCAGAGAGAGACCAGAGAGAGACCAGAGAGAGACCAGAGAGAGACCAGAGGGAGAGAGAAAAGTCCCCTTCAGCACATGCAGCTTGTCTCTGACTCACATTTCTAATGCAGCGTTCAGACCGGATCATGCGTTGCGTCGGCTTTCAATGCAAAGTCAATGGTGACGCGCGTTCGAGCGTCAAAACGCACGAACATCTCGGAATGCACGCACGGACAGCGCTGGGAAGTCAAAGGGGAGGAACGGAGGAGATGAATTTTGCTCAACCTTTCCTCGGAAGTTCGTGCAACCAATCAAAGAGCCGCAAAGTGGTCACAGGGACATTAGGGGTCTGAGCGAGCAGACTGAACATACTGTAAACAATCAAAACAGGAGCTAAACCAGGACTAAACCAGGGTTGCCAATGGGGGACATAGTGCTTGTTAACATGTGAGTTTTCATGCTCTCATGATGCAACTGCTTCGAGTGTGTTGGCCGATACAGAAGTACCATTTAATAATAAAATAAACGTATTGCGCACCTCCGTGAACACATACTACTGTTAGTCACGGGCTTGAGATGATGGAGGACTCAAAATGCAGGAATGCCAAAAATAAGGGTCCAGATGAAACCAACTCAAAATCCAAAACCAAAACAGGACCAGGAACAGGACGGAAACAGACAGAGACATGAACAAGACAAGACAGGACGTTGACAAGACAATGCAGCAGCAACAAGGGGAGAGGTGCGCAGGGTACAAATAGACACAGACACAGGTGAAACACATCAGGGCGGGGCAGACAATCAAGAGGGGAACAGGACATGAAGTAAAACTGAAATTAAACCAGATAACTTATGTCAAAATAAAACCAAATACAGAAATAAAAATCCACACCATGACAGCAAAGCTGCATTATTGGAGAAGATCTGTACACAAGAAGCCACTAGCTAAACTCTGTTAGCATCAGAGCCCGCCGGTCTGAAGACCCTTGTGTCTGAAAGCTGGAGAACGTGTGTTTCAGCGTTGCCGGTCTGAAAGCACCATAACATAAATCTAACTTAGGTCTACAGTGATTCTAATGAAGACCTCAGAGCCTGAACATCACGAGTCGTGTTTGTGGACGTGTCGCCGTCTTCTCTTTGCACCAGACAAATGGAGACATGTCCCCAGTGAGGTGTTGTCACAGCGACGAGGGGGGACAGGGGGAAGTGTGTAAGGGAGGAGGGGGAAGGAGGGGGAGATAGGAGCAGAGCTGGAGCTCGCGGCCTGAGGACTGAGAGCTGATGGAGTCCACTGAGAGGCTTTTAGTGAGAGCTCCCAGAGGCCTCTGCGGAAGTTTATTTGTGTAGCACAGTTTATTTACAGGCAATGAGCTTCACATGAAGAAACAGACTTTAATAATAATAATGCATTATTCATTCACTCTGAACACTGGTGATAAACTAGTACTGTAGCCCCAGCTGCCCTGGGGCACACTGACAGAAGCGAGGCAACCAGTCTGTGCCATCGGCCCCTCCCACCACCACCACCAACCATTCACACACACACCAGACTCATTCTAATGTGGGTGAAGTGTCTTGCCAAAGGACACAACCACAGTTTGGCACTTTACAGCCGCAGCCGCCCCACTGTGGCACCTGGTGTTCCCAGAGGTCTCCCATCACAGCACTAACCAGGCCCTGCCCTGCTAAGGTCTGACCTCATAAATAATCACTTTATCAAGAGTGAAGATACAGTCCCTCAGTTGTCGGTGTCACAGACGGATCATACTCAGGACTCCACACTGTCTACCCCGGGGCATACCAACACCACCACTCCCACACACTGTCTACCCCGGGGCATCTACGACCACCGCTCACCACCAGAGGGAGCCAATCCAACAACACAAGCTGCAGGACCCTGGTACAGAACATCACTGTTATGGTTCCATAGGCCTCAGTGTGGGGTTCTGGATGTTGAAGAAGTCTGGGATCCGGTCTCAGATCCCGAGTTGTGTCCCTTATTCCCCCTGGACCTCAGTCTGGGTTCACCGAGACAAACTCCAACAGACAGACGGCAGAAGAGTGAACGCAGCCTCAGTTCTGAGTCTACAGCCTCAGTCCTGGGTCTACAGCCTCATCCCCACTCCTCCTCCTGGATCTTGATCTCAGCCTGGGAAAAAACCAGACTTAGTTCTGGTTTAGTTTCTTTGCGTCGTACAAAGCCGTGTTCCGGTGCCACTCTCTCTCTCTCTGGTCTCTCTCTCTGGTGTCTCTCTGGTCTCTCTCTCTGGTGTCTCTCTGGTCTCTCTCTGGTCTCTCCTTCTCTGGTGTCTCTCTGGTCTCTCTCTGGTCTCTCCTTCTCTGGTCTCTCTCTCTCTCTCTGAGGTTTTTGCCTAATTAGTGTCGGTGGCTACAGCCTCCATTTGCATCGACCCTTTGAAGAGAGATGCAGATGAGGCTAACAAGAACGATAACGAGACTGCAACCAACTGAAGCTTTAGACCCAGGACTGAGGCTGTAGACCCAGGACTAAGGCTGTAGACCCAGGACTAAGGCTGTAGACCCAGGACTAAGGCTGTAGACCCAGGACTAAGGCTGTAGACCCAGGACTGAGGCTGTAGACCCAGGACTAAGGGTGTAGACCCAGGACTGAGGCTTTAGACCCGGGACTGAGGCTTTAGATCCAGGACTGAGGCTTTAGATTCAGGACTGAGGCTGTAGACCCAGGACTGAGGCCTGACTTCTTAGCAGATTAAATTATATGCTAGTTTTCTTTAGAAAATGACCTTTAAAATGAAGTATAACATGCCATAGTCTCCCATTACCGTCAATGTTGTAAGTGACTGTGAGAATGATAATTGAAAATAATTTCAGGGGCCACTTGAAATGGTCTCGGGGCCGGATTGGGCCCACGGGCTTGAGTTTGACCTGCCCGCTCTATGTTATTGTGTGATTTTAATCTGAAGTAAATGCATGGATTGATATACAGTTAGACCAGTGTTACATAAGATCTAATCCCACCCCAAACCGACCCAAGCCGGCACAGGCCCCCAGTGCCTGAGATCAGAGACTGGCATCCGAACCCCGGGGCTCGGATCTCACTGGAGCTGACGGACCATAAATAAAACATATGCAGTAAACAGCTCCTTATAATCCCAGAGAAGGCTCCGCGGGTGAGATGGAGATCAGGTGAGGAGATCCAGAGGGAGGATTAAGACGAGGCAGACGATGGGAAAGGGTGAGGCAGATGTGCTGACGGACACTGGAGCTACTGGGGGGGAGCTCCGAGGAGAATACTAATCCTAATGTGCTTTTGTTAATTTTTTTTCTCAACCAAGAGACAAGTGAGAGAACAGAGAGATCAGAGAGAGAACAGTGACCCAGAGAGAGAGACCAGAGAGAGACCAGTGAGAGACCAGAGAGAGACCAGAGAGAGACCAGAGAGAGAACAGTGAGAGACCAGAGAGAGACCAGAGAGAGACCAGAGAGAGAACAGTGACCCAGAGAGAGAGACCAAAGAGAGACCAGAGAGAGACCAGAGAGAGACCAGTGACCCAGAGAGAGAGACCAGAGAGGGGCCAGTGAGATACCAGAGAGAGATCAGAGAAAGATCAGAGAGAGACCAGTGAGACCAGAGAGAGAAGAGAGAGAGGAGAGAGAGAGAGACCAGACCCAACCTCAGTTACGCGGGAGGAGCTCGGAGTAGATCCGCTGCTTCTCCACGTCACAGGATCACATTTAAGATTCAAGATCATTTCACATTCTGACGTAAATTTATATCTCTCTGGTCTCTCTCGTCCTCAATCCTCATCCCTGCTCTCCAACAGTCTGGAGTTCTCTGATTTACCACACAATGCCACTTAAATAAGACTCATTCTGTTCTGTTAGTAAATCTATAGATGTAGATAATGTATGGTTATCGTGCTGTATAAAATATCACAGATTAAAGAGAGAGGGTCCAACAAAACACAAGATAAATAATAGATTATTACGATCCCGCAAAAATAATGTTTCATGTATTATTATTTAAACAAACATTAAAAAAGTGTAACATTTCCAACGCTCTTGAACGCACCATCAGCTGTCACCTCCGTTAGCAAACATTGTTGTTAGCACACGAAGCTAACACGGAGCTAACATGAGCAGCGCGGTCATAGTGCGGAGGCTAGCGGCTCTCTCCGGGGCTTCAGCGGTCGGACTGGGGGCGTACGGAGCTCACGGTACCGCCTCACACCGAACACTATCACACACATTATGACAACAACAACATGTGGTTATTTTAGCCCGATACAAAGCTAGTGCTGCCAGAGGTCAGTATTAGCAAACCGGACTCCCATTCACTACAACGCTAACTGAAGACTGTCTGTTTTATAAATGTAAGTTTCGTTGAGATGCAGAAATAACAAGAGACATTTTGAAAGTGTAGTTTAGTTTAAGAGAATTCGGATTGAACCAAATTGCATGTTTCTTCATGATGAGTCTGTGATGTTGAGTTACGTCAGTGAAAGTTTATCTCAAAAGGCAGAAGGGGAAACTGCCCTGATAAGTAATAGTAGAGTAAGATGGGTCTAATTAATCAGTTTTAACATATTAAGTAACACCTGCACATTTAAGATTGGTTTTAAATATTATTTAATGTTTAGAATTGTTTTTGCACAGGTTTCAAAAATGCAGACCCTGATGACTACAACATAATGGTGAGGTTTGACTTTTTTACATGTGATCTTATTTTTGGTTCATTCTTATATTTCTGTATAGTTTCTCTCTGGTTTCTCTCTGGTCTCTCTCTGGTCTCTCTCTGGTCTCTTTCTGGTCTCTCTCTGGTCTCTCTCTGGTTTCTCTCTGGTCCCTCTGGTTTCTCTCTGGTTTCTCTCTGGTCTCTCTCTGGTCCCTTTCTGGTCTCTCTCTCTGGTCTCTCTCTGGTTTCTCTCTGGTCCCTCTGGTTTCTCTCTGGTTTCTCTCTGGTCTCTCTCTGGTCCCTCTCTGGTCCCTCTCTGGTCTCTCTCTGGTCTCTCTCTGGTCCCTCTCTGGTTCCTCTCTGGTCCCTCTCTGGCCCCTCTCTGGTCTCTCTCTGGTTTCTCTCTGGTCTCTCTCTGGTCCCTCTCTGGTCCCTCTCTGGTCTCTCTCTGGTCTCTCTCTGGTCTCTCTCTGGTCTCTCTCTGGTCCCTCTCTGGTTCCTCTCTGGTCCCTCTCTGGCCCCTCTCTGGTTTCTCTCTGGTCTCTCTCTGGTCTCTCTCTGGTCTCTCTCTGGTCTCTCTCTGGTCTCTCTCTGGTTTCTCTCTGGTTTCTCTCTGTTCTCTCTCTGGTCCCTCTCTGGTCCTTCTCTGGTCTCTCTCTGGTTTCTCTCTGGTCCCTCTGGTTTCTCTCTGGTTTCTCTCTGGTCCCTCTCTGGTTTCTCTCTGGTTTCTCTCTGGTCCCTCTCTGGTCCCTCTCTGGTCCCTCTCTGGTCTCTCTCTGGTTTCTCTCTGGTTTATAAAACCTAGAGCCTGCTGCTGAGAGGACTCGGGTTAGAACCAACATTGTACTGTTTCTTGCAGTAATATAGTTTTGTGTCTTTTTTTTCCCACAGCTTTTTGAAACAGCGAATAAGTACCACTTCTACCACAGCCTGGCCCTGCTCGGAGCGGCCCAGTGCCGGCAGCCTGCGGTGGTGAGTCTCACTGGTGCTGTGAACCCTGAGGCCTGTAGAGCCAGATGGATAATGTATGTGGTTATAGTTTGTGAGAGCGCCCCCTGAGGGAACGAACGCTTAAACACCACTAGGTTTTCCTCCATATGTGAGAGAAAAAGAGAGACAGAGTTACGACTCGCTTTCTCTGGTCTCTCTCGCTGCTCTTTCTGCTCACTCTCTGATCTCTCTCTCTGGTCCATGTCTGAAACAAGGACCTTCATTCTTGCGCACAGATCCAGATCTAGTCTTTCTGGTAAAGTTTTAATGGTGTCAGATGAAAACAAAGTGAGCGGTCAGAGGCGATGGGAGACACGAGTCCTTTGATCCAGCCGCGGCACAAAGGTTCAAAGGTTCCAGATGAAATGGAATATAGATTATGCTCATTAATATATTATTAATATGCACAGCCTTATGTCTGTGCTGTGGAGAAGAGACTGAGAAGGCTGCAGCAAGAGAGACCAGAGAGAGAGAGAGAGGCCAGAGAGAGAGGCCAGAGAGAGAGGCCAGAGAGAGAGGCCAGAGAGAGAGGCCAGAGAGAGAGGCCAGAGAGAGAGGCCAGAGAGAGAGGCCAGAGAGAGAGGCCAGAGAGAGAGGCCAGAGAGAGAGGCCAGAGAGAGAGGCCAGAGAGAGAGGCCAGAGAGAGAGGCCAGAGAGAGAGGCCAGAGAGAGGCCAGAGAGAGAGACCAGAGAGAGGCCAGAGAGAGAGGCCAGAGAGAGGCCAGAGAGAGAGACCAGAGAGAGAGGCCAGAGAGAGAGGCCAGAGAGAGAGGCCAGAGAGAGAGGCCAGAGAGAGGCCAGAGAGAGAGACCAGAGAGAGAGACCAGAGAGAGAGACCAGAGAGAGAGGCCAGAGAGAGAGGCCAGAGAGAGAGGCCAGAGAGAGAGGCCAGAGAGAGAGGCCAGAGAGAGAGGCCAAGAGAGGAGAGAGAGCCAGAGAGAGAGGCCAGAGAGAGAGGCCAGAGAGAGAGGCCAGAGAGAGAGGCCAGAGAGAGAGGCCAGAGAGAGAGGCCAGAAAGAGGCCAGAGAGAGAGACCAGAGAGAGGCCAGAGAGAGAGGCCAGAGAGAGGCCAGAGAGAGAGACCAGAGAGAGACCAGAGAGAGGCCAGAGAGAGAGGCCAGAGAGAGGCCAGAGAGAGAGGCCAGAGAGAGGCCAGAGAGAGAGACCAGAGAGAGAGGCCAGAGAGAGAGGCCAGAGAGAGAGGCCAGAGAGAGAGGCCAGAGAGAGAGGCCAGAGAGAGAGGCCAGAGAGAGAGGCCAGAGAGAGAGGCCAGAGAGAGAGGCCAGAGAGAGAGGCCAGAGAGAGAGGCCAGAGAGAGAGGCCAGAGAGAGAGGCCAGAGAGAGAGGCCAGAGAGAGAGGCCAGAGAGAGAGACCAGAGAGAGAGAGAGAGAGAGAGACATAAAGCACATCTGTTTGGTTTGTAAAGTGTGCAGTGATTATGATTTAGTGACTTTTCCTTGAGGAGAGACTTGGCTCCTCCTCAGTACAAAGCTCTGACTCGTTGTACAGGCTGGCTCTCTGCTCATCGCTGGGATGGGTCTGTTCTGTGGAGCTCTGTACCGTCAGGCCCTGACCGGAGAAGTGGCCCCCAAGAAGGTGGCTCCCATGGGGGGCATGGCCATGATCGCAGGCTGGCTGACCCTGCTGCTGTGAGGCAAGCATCTGTGTCTGTAAGGACCAGGACCAGCACCAGGACCTGACTCTGCCACAGCTGCACAGAGAAGACCATGTGGGGAAGACCATAACAGGAGATTATGATATGCTCCTGATGAGGTCAATCCACATTATGTCCTTTTACAAACACAAACATTTTATTTTTAAACCACAACAAACGATCATCTGCAGAAACACTGAGGCTGTAGACCCAGGACCGAGGCCGCAGACCCAGGACCGAGGCCGCAGACCCAGGACCGAGGCCGCAGACCCAGGACCGAGGCCGCAGACCCAGGACCGAGGCCGCAGACCCAGGACCGAGGCCGCAGACCCAGGACCGAGGCCGCAGACCCAGGACCGAGTCTCATTCTGTTTCTTTATTTTGGTTTTTGAAAATAAATTGTTATGTTTGTGGATGAAAAAGTTGAGCCGTTGTAAACTATTGGTCATATTTTCTTGGCTCAAAGCTTCTTCTAAAATCATCTTTTGTAAATAATGATTCTCTGAAAAGTGAAGAATGTGCTGCTTTTGTTCAAAATAAATGACACAAAAACATTTGTGCATTTGTTTGATTACACAAAACTCACAGGACTATCAACAGCACCAGTATACAGCCCTGGTCTCCTCTCTGGTGTTTCTCTCTGGTGTGTCTCTCTTTCTCTCTCTGGTCTCTCTTTTACCAGACCTGTGAAGCTACTGTAAGCAGGGCAGGACCTGGTTAGTGCTGTGATGGGAGACCTCTGGGAACAGCAGGTGCAACAGTGAGGCGGCTGCGGCTGTAAAGTGCTAAACTGTGGTTGTGTCCTTAGGCAAGACCATAGACTGTATATATTAGACACTTCACCCACATTAGAATGAGTCTGGTATGTGTGTGAATGACAAGTGCTGTATTAAATCCATGCATCATTATTATGAAAAAGTAATGTACATAACCAGCTTCTTACAGTTTGGTGTAAATCGGGGCCCAGAGGATTCAGTCCAGTCCCAGTCCTGTCATAGACCAGTCCCAGTCCTGTCATAGTCCAATCCCAGGTAAGAATAAAAGCAGAATAAAGGAGGACATAGGAGCGCTCAGGTTTCACTCACACACTGATGTCGGCTGACGTGTCTCTGAGCAAGACACTTTACCCCACTTTGCCTGAAGCCCCTCCGAAAGACCGAGGCTGTGTCTTTGATGTCAGGACCAGTGAGGGGCAGGGGGGCAGCTCTGATCGCCCCCACCCAGAAGTGGACTAATACAGAGGCAAGGCAAGTTTATTTGCCTTTTACACATTCTAGGAAAGAACCGCCCTCTCCACTTTCTGAAAAAACTCTCTGGTCTTATTGGACGAGCAAGTATCACCAGAATGATTGACAGGAGGAGCCATAGTCTTGATGATCCACCTGGAAGTAGAAAATCCTCCTATTCCATTAATTTTCACCCGAAGACACGACGCCTGGAACTCAATAGTGACGGTGAAGTTGGTAAAAGCATGAAGTCGTTTGGAGACTGTCCGTGTCCTGAGGCCGGATCAGGAGCGTTGGGAACGTCAGGAGACATGGAGCGAGGCGTGAGGTCATTACATCGTCCCCTCGGGCTCCTGCTGTTCTGCTCTGAGTCCACTCTGCACAGCACAGACTCTCATTTAAACCCATACGTCTCCAGCTCTTTCCTTTTCCACAGTGACCGGAAAATCCACATGACATGGATTACATAATAGTGTAAGACCCGGGACTGAGGCTGTAGACCCAGGACTGAGGCTGTAAACCCAGGACTGAGGCTGTAAACCCAGGACTGAGGCTGTAAACCCAGGACTGAGGCTGTAGACCCAGGACTGAGGCTGTAGACCCAGGACTGAGGCTGTAGACCCAGGACTGAGACTGTAAACCCAGGACTGAGGCTGTAGACCCAGGACAGTAGGTGAATAGCAATGAACAGACTACAGCAGAAGTCATAAATACAGATAAATACAGCAGGAGGAGAGTGCAGTTACCAGACTTGTCCAGCAGGGGGCTCTATTACATTATCACTTACAGTCTATTTGATGACAATGCAAATGTTTAGTGTCACATCATTTTGTTTTGGTTTGATTCAGTTAAATTCATTGTGGACATTTATAACATTTGGCTCCTGTGTGTTTGTTATTATTGCATTTCCTATAAGAACGGTTTGATTCTCTGATCTGTTGTTGGTGAATCAACAACTTTGTAAAGTCCTCCGAGACTGTGAGGGGATCACAAATAGTCTCTGAGGACTTTACAAAGTTGCTGATTCTCCTCTCTCTCCTCACCTCCCCCCCTTTCTCTCTCTTCTCCTTCCCTCTCTCTACCTCACCTCCTCTATCCTCTCCTATCCCTCCCTCCTCTCCTCACTTCCTCTCCCCCTCCATCTCTCTTCTACCCCTCTCCTCACTCCCTCTCTCTCTCCTCTCCCCTTCTTTCTGTTCTCTCCCCTCTGCTTTCCTCTCCTCTCTCTTCTCACATCTCCCCTTCTTTCTGTTCTCCTCTCCCTCTCTCTCTCTTCTCCCCCTCTCTCCTCACTCCTTCTCCTCTCCCCTTCTCACCCTCTTTCTGTTCTCCTCTCCCCTCCCTCTCTCCTCTCTAGCTCATCTTATCTCCTTCCCTCTCCACTCCCTTTCCTCACTCTCTCCCTCCCCTCCTCTATCCTCTCCTATCCCTCCCTCCTCTCCTCACTCCCTATCCCCCTCTATCTCTCTTCTACCCCTCTCCGCACTCCCTCTCTCTCCTCTCCCCTTCTCCTCACCTCTCCCCCTCTTTCTGTTCTCCTCTCTCCTCTGCTTTCTCTCTCTCTCTTCTTCCCCTCTCTCCTCTGCTTTCCTTTCCTCTCTTCTCACCTCTCCCTCTCTCCTCTCTCTCCCTTCTCCCCCTCTCTCCTCACTCCCTCTCCTCTCCCCCTCTTTCTGTTCTCCTCTCCCCTCCCTCTCTCCTCTCCTTTCCTCTCCTCTCTAGCTCATCTTATCTCCTTCCCTCTCCTCTCCCTTTCCTCACTCTCTCTCTCTCCCCCCTCCCTCCCTCCCTCATCCCTCCCTCCCTCCCTCATCCCTCCCTCCCTCACACACACAGACAGTAATCCACTCCCTGCGTGCTTCCATGCTCTGGGAGGAGTTCCTGCTCTGGCTAGAGTAACATTACCATGATTTTTGGGATCGCATTTTTACCCAGAGGAAAAAGAAGAAGGTCTCTCCCGTTCGGAAATGACAACTGCCTGGACGAAGGATCTGCAAAATAGTAAACACAAGAATAGATAGCGTTTAAAGTCTGCCTAGCCAAGCCCCGGACAGGGTATGTCACCATGTGTTTTTGCATGTGTTTTTACAGCCATTACATGAAAACTATGGCAATATAACACTTGCACAAGCAGTGGAAAGAAGCAGATGCAAGTTCTGCTTTAGGGTGGAACAAGCCTTGTGCGTAATGGTGATCCAGCCTCTCCACTCCACAGACGTGTTTAAAATGACAATCCGTGCATTTAAATGAATGAATGCAAGGTCTATACGAACCAGGGAGTCTCTGTGGAGGCTTGTTCTCGTGGTTGCAGTGTCGAAAGTGGCGTATATGGGTGTTTTGGAGAAGTTAGCAGGGCTAGCTTGTGGATCCTTGCATACAGGGCTATTTGGGAAGCTAGCATTCGGGTTTGCTGTGGATTGCAATGTGCTTTAAGTAGGAATAGTTGCGTGCATGCGAAGTTGTAACCTGCACCTGTTTTGCTAGCTTAGCCACCACCTGTCGTTAGCTCCCATCGTAAACTAATAACAACAAATTACAACAAATTTGCTATTTTATCGCACAACCCGGGTTTAAAACTTGCTCACAGCCACTTACGAGTCTGTTTTATTAACTCATGCTGTGTTTTGAGTCGCTGTATAGTTTTTAGTGGTGTAAAAGTATTAATTAGCTGTCGGTTATCCCATGCAGCAGGGTGTTAGCCAATTAGCTTAGCGGCTAGATTGACCCAGTTGCGTTGGAGAGGAGCCATGTTGACACGCCACCCGACTGTTTACACGGAGGGTTTGAAGTGTGTCCCATGCTGTCTGCCGTACTGCAATCACAGACACTCACTGGCAAACACACACATCCGTCCATAAGCTGTGAAATGTAGAGAACTAGAATGGATTGGTTTGGTGAGAGCTAGTTTTATGTTGAGGAATGTTGGCATTGTGTTTCTCAAACTAGAGAGAGAGAGAGAGAGACAAAGAGAAAGTCTTAGACAGAGAGAGAGATGAAGATAGAGTTGGAGAGAGAGCGAGAGACAGAGACGTAGAGTCTTAGAGAGAGACGAAGAGAGTCTTAGAGAGAGACACGAAGAGAGAGTCTTAGAGAGAGACGAAGAGAGAGTCTTGGAGAGAGAGTCTTAGAGAGAGACAAAGAGAGTCTAAGAGAGAGACAAAGAGAGTCTAAGAGAGAGACAAAGAGAGTCTTAGAGAGAGACAAAGAGAGTATTAGAGAGAGACGAAGAGAGTCTTAGAGAGAGACGAAGAGAGTCTTAGAGAGAGACAAAGAGAGTATTAGAGAGAGACGAAGAGAGTCTTAGAGAGAGACAAAGAGAGTATTAGAGAGAGACAAAGAGAGTCTTAGAGAGAGACAAAGAGTCTTAGAGAGAGACGAAGAGAGTATTAGAGAGAGACGAAGAGAGAGACAAAGAGAGACTTGGAGAGAGACGTAGAGAGTCTTAGAGAGGGAGAGAGAGACGAAGAGAGAGTCTTGGAGAGAGAGAGAGTCTTAGAGAGAGACGAAGAGAGAGTCTTAGAGAGGGGAGAGAGAGAGAGTCTAGAGAGGGAGAGAGAGAGAGAGTCTTAGAGAGGGAGAGAGAGAGAGAGTCTTAGAGAGAGAGAGAGAGAGAGTCTTAGAGAGAGAGAGAGAGTCTTAGAGAGAGACGAAGAGAGAGTCTTAGAGAGAGACAAGAGAGAGAGTCTTAGAGAGAGAGAGAGAGAGAGTCTTAGAGAGGGGAGACAAGAGAGAGTCTTAGAGAGAGACAAAGAGAGTCTTAGAGAGAGACGAAGAGAGTCTTGGAGAGAGACGAAGAGAGTCTTAGAGAGGGAGAGAGAGAGAGAGAGACGACAGAGAGAGTCTTAGAGAGGGAGAGAGAGAGAGAGTCTTAGAGAGGGAGAGAGAGAGAGAGAGTCTTAGAGAGGGGGAGAGAGAGAGAGTCTTAGAGAGAGAGAGAGAGAGAGAGTCTTTAGAGAGAGACGAGAGAGAGTCTTAGAGGAGAGAGAGAGAGAGAGTCTTAGAGAGGGAGAGAGAGAGAGAGAGAGAGAGAGAGAGTCTTAGAGAGGGAGAGAGAGAGAGAGTCTTAGAGAGAGACGAAGAGAGTCTTAGAGAGAGACGAAGAGAGTCTTGGAGAGAGACGAAGAGAGTCTTAGAGAGGGAGAGAGAGAGAGAGAGACGAAGAGAGAGTCTTAGAGAGGGGGAGAGAGAGAGAGTCTTAGAGAGGGAGAGAGAGAGAGAGTCTTAGAGAGGGGGAGAGAGAGAGAGTCTTAGAGAGGGAGAGAGAGAGAGAGTCTTAGAGAGAGACGAAGAGAGTCTTAGAGAGAGACGAAGAGAGTCTTGGAGAGAGACGAAGAGAGTCTTAGAGAGGGAGAGAGAGAGAGAGACGAAGAGAGAGTCTTAGAGAGGGGGAGAGAGAGAGAGTCTTAGAGAGGGAGAGAGAGAGAGAGTCTTAGAGAGGGGGAGAGAGAGAGAGTCTTAGAGAGGGAGAGAGAGAGAGAGTCTTAGAGAGAGACGAAGAGAGTCTTGGAGAGAGACGAAGAGAGTCTTAGAGAGGGAGAGAGAGAGAGAGAGACGAAGAGAGAGTCTTGGAGAGAGAGAGAGAGAGTCTTAGAGAGGGAGAGAGAGAGAGAGTCTTAGAGAGAGACGAAGAGAGTCTTAGAGAGGGAGAGAGAGAGAGAGAGACGAAGAGAGAGTCTTGGAGAGGGGGAGAGAGAGAGAGTCTTAGAGAGGGAGAGAGAGAGAGAGTCTTAGAGAGAGACGAAGAGAGTCTTGGAGAGAGACGAAGAGAGTCTTAGAGAGGGAGAGAGAGAGAGAGAGACGAAGAGAGAGTCTTGGAGAGAGAGAGAGAGTCTTAGAGAGGGAGAGAGAGAGAGAGTCTTAGAGAGAGACGAAGAGAGTCTTAGAGAGGGAGAGAGAGAGAGAGAGACGAAGAGAGAGTCTTGGAGAGAGAGAGAGAGTCTTAGAGAGAGAGACAAAGAGAGAGTCTTAGAGAGAGACGAAGAGAGAGTCTTAGAGAGGGGGAGAGAGAGAGAGACTTAGAGAGAGACGAAGAGAGAGTCTTGGAGAGAGAGAGACAAAGAGAGACTTAGAGAGGGAGAGAGAGAGAGACGAGTGAGTCTTAGAGAGGGAGAGAGAGAGTCTTTGAGAGTGAGAGAGACGATGTGAGAGTCTTAGTCAGAGAGAGAGTCTATAAACTTTTGAAATGTAATCAACTTTAGTTTATAGTTTTAATGTGAGTTAGTTTTATGTTGTTTTTGTAATTCTCAAACTGGACTGAACAAAACCTGAACAAAACCTGAGCCAGACTCGGTCATATCTGAATAATAATACATTGCATAAATAATTACACTTCTTCTTTCACTGTTATTACGTCTCTGTATTAACTGCACCAGCTGCATTGAGAAAAAAGTTAGGGGGGACTTTGTTTATGATTTTAGTTGTAGGAAAAACAGTAGCATCTGGAGGAAACTTACACAGACATGGGGAGAACATGCAAAATCCACACAGTAAGTAAACAAACAGTAATACACATTCTCATAGCTACTAAACCTGGAGTCAAAATAATTAGTAAAACCTCTGCCATGACAACAGCCCTAATCACATAAACACTTGTACTTCATGCTTCTCTGTGTCTCTACTGTTCACATAAACCACAGCTGATAGAGTGGTTTCCAGGAGATACTCAACCACAATGAAAATACATAGATTGGGTTTAAAGATGTATTTTTATTTTTAGTAGAATATCTTAAAGGTTTATAGGAGGATTTTCTACTTCCGGGTGGATCATCAACACTATTGGTCCTTCTAACTGTCAATCATTCTGGTGGTATGTGCTCATCCAATAAGACCAGAGAGATTTGTTCATAAAGAGGGCGGTTCTTTAATAAAACGTGGGAAAATCCTCATATTTACATTTAGATTATAAGCATAGATCAATCAAATCAATCACATTATATTTACAAAGCCCCGTACAACAACACGCAAGGTAGTGACCACAGTGATTTACAAAAAATAGCATAAAATCCATGAAAACATCCATGAAATCCAAAATTAAAACAATTAAAAAGTAATTAACAAAGCATTAAAACAGTGCCAATAATGAGTGTTCAAAGTCAGTCTGAATAAATTAGTTCTGAGCCTGGATTTAAAAATACAAAAGTTATTGCGGACAGGCATATCAGGGGCAGCTTGTTCCAGAGTCTGAAAAGGACCAGTCACCCCAGTGTTTGGACCGTTTTGCCATTTGCAGTAAAACCACATTGGAGTAACTGTACAAGACCCCCCAGTGTGCCCCAGGAGAGTAACACCAATGTTTATTATGTAAAAGTCCTAAAAACGATTGAGATGAATTCACTTCAGCTTCATCCAGGTCAAAGAGAGATCAAATATTGTTCTTATTTATGATTTTAATGCCTTTAAATGATTGTTTATATCCGGTTTAGTTTAGCTTAGCATGTAGTTAGTGTTATTGCCACCAGCTCACATGGTTTGTCTTTTCCCACACGTCCCCAGGGCCTTTGTCTGTGAGGGTGATTTAGTTTTACGGCCTAAATGTGTTGCTAATTCTCTTGTGCGCGGTTTGCTAAGTGCCTTCCATCGTTTAAACCAGATCCTGCTGCTATGCTAGCTAATCATGTTTGGTCAAAGTCTATGTTCTGCTTTTAAAATGAGAGGGAGTTTGTTGTGTTTGTGCAGAAATAGCTAATTACAGAGGTCCCTGTTACACGCTGCTGAACTGCTCCTTCTCTTCATTCTGTTTCCTGGAACCTCAGTATTGCCGATGTTTTTCTTGGAAGGTGCAAAAACATGTTATTTCAAAACGAGGGAAACTAAAATAGACAGATTTACTGCTCTGTGGTTGATCTGACGTCATATTTCTGTAAAAACAGGCTTTCTGTGGCCTCATGATCAACACATGACAGAGAGAGAGTTCTAGTCAGGGAGAGGGGAGAGAGAGGGGAGAGAGAGGGGAGAGAGGGGAGAGAGGGGAGGGGGGGAGAGGGGAGGGGGGGGGGGGGGGGAGAGAGAGCGAGACCGGAGCGAGAGTGTCTCTGTCAAAACAGGCTTTTGTGACTCTGGGTTTCAAGTTACTGCAGTTCTGTGTAACTGCAGTTTTGTGTAGTATAAACATGAAAGATGTGTCTGTTAGAAAAGGAAACATGTGAATGAATGACTGTAGACCCAGGACTGAGGCTGTAGACCCAGGACTGAGGCTGTAGACCCAGGACTGAGGCTGTAGACCCAGGACTGAGGCTGTAGACCCAGGACTGAGGCTGTAGACCCAGGACTGAGGCTGTAGATCCAGGACTGAGGCTGTAGACCCAGGACTGAGGCTGTAGATCCAGGACTGAGGCTGTAGACCGAGGATTGAGGCTGTAGACCCAGGACTGAGGCTGTAGACCCAGGACTGAGGCTGTAGACCGAGGACTGAGACTGTAGACCGAGGACTGAGACTGTAGACCCAGGACTGAGGCTGTAGACCCAGGACTGAGGCGGTGGACCCAGGACTGAGGCGGTGGACCCAGGACTGAGACTGTAGACCCAGGACTGAGGCTGTAGACCCAGGACTGAGGCTGTAGACCCAGGACTGAGGCTGTAGACCCAGGACTGAGGCTGTAGACCCAGGACTGAGGCTGTATCTTACCTTCTCTCTCTGTGTAGATGGAGACCCTGATGAGTGCGGTGGCCCCTCGCTCCCCGGCCCCTGCTAAGAGGCCCTCAGAGGTGGACTTCAGGTCTGGGGCCTCGCTGGAGCAGCTGTCGGTGCAGGTGACTGAGCTGGTGCAACAGGAGCAGGGCGAGTTTGGAGACCAGACCGCGCTGGAGGTCCACACGGCCAAGGACTTCATCTTCAACATGCTCGGTACTGACGCTCTCTGCTCTTTAGGTTCTCAGTGTTTCTGTTGTTAGACTGAGTGTGACATCACCACAGTGTGACATCACCACAGTGTGACATCACCACAGTGTGACATCACCACAGTGTGACATCACCACAGTGTGACATCACCACTGTCTTAGCCTTAATGTGTAAGAGGCATAAGCAGTGTATTTTTTCAAAAAGCGTTTGGGTTACGGGTTAGGTCTCATGGTCTCTCTCTGGTCTCTCTCTCTGGTCTATTTCTGGTCTCTCGCTCTGGTCTATCTCTAGTCTCTCTCTGGTCTCTCTCTCTGGTCTCTGTCTGGTCTCTGGTTTCTCTCTCTGGTCCCATCTGTATAGCATTAGCATCTGAGTCTGTGTTAGCGTTAGCATCTGTATACAGACTGTGTTAGCGTTAGCATCTGTATACAGTCTGTGTTAGCGTTAGCATCTGTATACAGTCTGTGTTAGCGTTAGCATCTGTATACAGTCTGTGTTAGCGTTAGCATCTGTATACAGTCTGTGTTAGCGTTAGCATCTGTATACAGTCTGTGTTAGCATTGGCACCTGTATGTGCAGCCAGAGAAGCAGGATCATCAAAGAGAATTTTGTATATATCGCTGTCCTTCTCCTTCAGTTCTCTGAAACTTTATTATAGAATTGTTTTTTTTCTGTGCAGCTTTGAATCAGTTTGAAGGAGAGTCTTTTGAAATGTGGTTTGCTGAGAGTGCGGACTCGTCTGTGTTTGCTGAAGGCGTTTGGACGTTTGTTTACTCAGCTCTGAGTGTCCCACACCTGTCCCTCTCTCTGGTCTCTCTCTGGTCTCTCTCTCTGGTCTCTCTCTGTCTCCCTCTAGTCTCTTCTCTGTCTCTCTGGTCTCTCTCTGGTCTCTCTCTGGTCTCTCTCTGGTCTCTCTCTGGTCTCTCTCTGGTCTCTCTCTGGTCTCTCTCTGGTCTCTCTCTGGTCTCTCTCTGGTCTCTCTCTGGTCTCTCTCTGGTCTCTCTCTGGTCTCTCTCTGGTCTCTCTCTGGTCTCTCTGCTCGCTCTGGCTGCTATGTACAGTCTTGTAGAGACCTGCTGTAAATATGTGACGGAGGTGAATGTGTCTCACACACTGAAACTATGAACTGTCAGATCTTGTCATTTGTTCTCTCAGAGTTGGTTTAGTTTGTTGTTCTCTGGTCTCTCTCTGTATTTTTTTTCTTCTGGCCGCTGTCTGTTGCCTCTCTCTTTGGTAGTAATAATATTAGTAGATTTTATTTATAAAGCACCTTACATATGCAAAGCACATCTCAAGGTGCTACAGCAGTTAAAACATACATCAGAATAAAATAGAATAAAAATACAGACAAAATATCAAAATGCATTTAAAGACGTGGGCTGCAGATCAGCAGGAGGCCTTCTGAATAGCTCTGTTTTCAGGTGCTTTTTAAAGCACTCCAGACTGTGGCGCCCGCAGGTCTTGGGGCAAAGTGTTCCACAGGTTTGGGGACATAAACAAGATCTGACTCTATTCTTTCTCCAGATTAAACTTCAGCTTCAGAGCTGTTTTCTCTGACAGATCCCAGACCAGCCCCTATGTAGACTGCCCCTGGCTTTAGACCCAGGATCCAGGACTGAGGCTGTAGACCCAGGACCCAGGACTGAGGCTGTAGACCCAGGACCCAGGACTGAGGCTGTAGACCCAGGACCCAGGACTGAGGCTGTAGACCCAGGACCCAGGACTGAGGCTGTGGACCCAGGACCCAGGACTGAGGCTGTAGACCCAGGACCCAGGACTGAGGCTGTAGACCCAGGACCCAGGACTGAGGCTGTGGACCCAGGTTTTGAACATAAGCTAGCTGCGGCCACTTTCTTAATGTGGGCATTTCTTTTGACATTATTGCAGAGGTCAGCAGTGTTGAGGAGTCTTTATTGTTTATTGTACAGTGTGACAGCAGCAGGAAGGAGAGACCTGTCTCTCCTTCACACAACGAGGGTGGATCAGTCTGTCACTGAAACTGCTCTTCAGAGAGTGCCCTGTATAGCATCTGTATACAGATGCTAACGCTAACACAGACTGCATACAGATGCTAACGCTAACACAGACTGTATACAGATGCTAACGCTAATCAATCAATCAATCAACGTTTATTTATAGAGCGCCTTTCCTACACAAGGCAACGCAAAGCGCCTCACAACCCATATAACATCATGCATAAATCATCAAACATTAGAATTTAAGTAAACATAAAAGGACAGATTAAGAGCACAAGATATATAAAATCACACAAGTAGTTAAAAACCGTAAAACATTAAAATCACACAAGGGATTACAATCATAAATAATCATAAATAATCATAGTGCATTAAAAAGATTAAAGATAAAAACAAATATAAAATCATTCACTTGTATGCACAGCTAAAAAGAACTGTTTTCAGTTCAGTTTTAAAAACTGCTAGAGTAGACGCCTGTCTCACACTCTCGGGAAGACGGTTCCAGACTCTAGCTGCATGAATCTGAAACGCAGCCTCCCCATGTCTAGTTCCGACTCTTGGCACTAACAGAAGTCCAGTCCCTGTGCTCCTCAGAGCCCGAGTTGGTTCATATGGCACCAACATGTCGCGGATGTACCCTGGTGCGAGGCCATGGAGAGACTTGTACACAAGTAAAGCTACTTTAAAATCTATTCTCTGAGCCACAGGAAGCCAGTGCAGAGACCTGAGAACTGGACTAATGTGGTCGTACTTCCTGGTTCTAGTCAGGACTCGAGCTGCTGCATTTTGGATGTACTGCAGCTGTTTTACCGCTTGTTTAGAGAGACCTGTGAACAAGCCATTGCAGTAGTCCAATCGACTGGAGACAAATGCGTGGATAAGAATCTCCAAGTCTGCTTTAGACACAATGTTTTTAATTTTAGCAATGTTTCTTAGGTGGAAGTAACCTGATGATGTCACAGATGATATGTGGCTATAGATATTTAAGTCTGAGTCCATTATTACTCCTAGATTTCTGACCTGAGTTGAGGGTTTTAGGGAGAGAGACTGGAGGTGGCAGATAACGCTCTCTCTTTGTTTTTGAGGTCCAAAAACAATAATTTCAGTTTTTTCTGTGTTTAGCTGGAGAAAGTTATTTTGCATCCAATCACTGATTTGTTGGATACAGTGAAGGAGCGAGTCCATTGGTCCATGTTCTCCTGCTGTCAGGGACACATAGACCTGAGTATTGTCAGCATAATTGTGATAGGACACGTTATTACTGTGTATTAACCTACCCAGAGGCAGCATGTAAATATTAAACAGGAGAGGCCCCAGGATTGAGCCCTGTGGCACTCCGCAGGTTAGGGCCAGATGGTCTGAGATACAGTTTCCGATCTCCACAAAATACTTTCTGTCCTGTAGGTAGGACATAAACCAGCTTAGGGCTGTACCAGAAACACCAACCCAGTCCTCAAGTCTCTGAATGAGGATACCATGATCGACAGTGTCGAAAGCAGCACTTAAATCTAACAGGATAAGAACTGAGACTTTTCCTGCGTCAGTGTTAAGTCTGATGTCATTCGTTACCTTCACTAGAGCGGTCACTGTGCTGTGGTGGGGTCTAAAACCAGACTGGAACATATCAAAAGAGTGATTGATTATTAAAAATTCTGTAAGTTGTTGATAGACAACTTTTTCTAGAATTTTACCCATGAAAGGCAGATTTGAAATGGGCCGATAATTTTTAAGTGCCAAGGCATCCAGACTCCTCTTTTTTAGGAGGGGTCTGATGACTGCCGTTTTCAGGGCCATTGGGAATGTTCCAGATTCAAGAGACATATTTACTATATGCGTGAGTGAAGGTAAAAGACTGCTCAGAACAGATTTAAGAAATCTAGGAGGTAATACATCCAGGCTACATGTAGAAGAACTCAGACTTGTAATAATCATTTGGACAGTTTCATTTTGTACTGGTGTAAAGTGTGTCAGCCCAAAAAGCTTCACTGGCTGTTGGATTGTAATTTCTACTGTGGAGGTGATGGCATTTTTGATGCCTTGGACTTTGTCATTAAAAAACTCTGCAAACTCATTACATTTGGTTTTGGAGGTAAGCTCTGATGGCATCTTAACAGGGGGATTTGTCAAATTATTTACTGTTGAGAACAGAACGCGTAGATTGCCACTACAACCTTCGATTGTTTCGGAAAAATAAGTTTCCCTCGTTCTACGTAGCACACTGTTGAACTTGCACAACGCATCTTTGAAGATCTCATGGTCAACTTGGAGATTTGACTTTCGCCACTTTCGCTCGGCTCTCCGGCACTCTCTCTTCTGTGCCCTGACAGAGTCTGCTTTTGTCCATGGCGCCTTTTGCTTATTTGTAACAATTTTGACCTTTACAGGAGCAATCGTGTCCAGAACATCCAAAACACTAGAGGTGACAGAGTTAAGTAATTCATCCACAGTAGAACACAACGTGTTATCAAAGTTTATCATCCCCATGAAAAGTTCACCTGTATTTTTGTTTATGTGTCTTCTCCTTCTAACAATTGAGGATTCAGCTCGTGCTTTACTATTGAGACACATATCAAAAAATACACAGAAATGATCTGACAGAGCAACATTGGCCACATTTACATTTGAGATATTAACCCCTTTAGTAATTAGCAGATCGAGAGTGTGTCCTCTGCTATGGGTGGGGCCACTCACATGCTGAGTGAGACCAAAGGTTTCCAGCACAGAGCTCAGCTCTTTCGCGTATCTATCATTAACGTTATCTACATGTATATTAAAATCACCTATGACAACTAAACTATCAAAGTCTGTGCACACAACTGAAAGCAACTCGGTGAAATGATCAGTGAAACTATGACATGACTGTGGCGGCTTGTACACAACAATAATAAGAATAGAAGATTGTTTTTGTTCTATTTTAAAAGAGACATACTCAAATGAGGAAAATTTCCCAAGAGGTACTCTATGGGAGACAATACAATCTTTAAAAACTGCTGCTGTGCCTCCTCCTCTTTTATTTTCTCGAATTTCTGATTCAAATTTGAAATTTGGTGGTGTTGTTTCTATTAAAACTGCATTTTCTGTATTATGGTCAAGCCATGTTTCAGTCATAAACATAAAGTCAAGATCATAAGAACAGATAAAATTATTAATTAAAAAGGATTTATTGCATAGTGATCTGACATTAAGCAGAGCAAGGTTAAAAATAATATCAGTGTCAGTGGGTTTAGTTGATTGACTACAAAGAATTGGAATTAGATTTCCTGAGTTGGACCGTCTAACTGCTGTCCTTCTGTTATATTTGTGTTTATTCAAATTAAAACACATTTCTGAGCCGGTGCGAGGAAAACACACAGTCTCTATTGGTTTAAAAAGTGAACTCTGTTTTACTTTGTTAAGTTCCAGATGCATGACTGAGTAAGCACCGTTCAGTGGCAGGACTGTCGTTACACTGCCAGACTGACAGGGGTCAGTGTTTGCACCACAGTACTCACCCGGTGCTGGAGTGGAGGAGGAAGGTGGTAGTGGGGGCCGAGAGGCCTCGGATGTAAACAGTCACGCCCCCCTCGGGGAGCACTGAACAACATGGCGTAAAAAGTCCATCAATAAACTGGTACCGTATCTGTTCGGGTGCAGACCGTCTGGACGATGGGCCACGTGACGCTTCCAGAACAGGCCAAAGTTGTTCACAAAAATAAAGTTAAAAGTGCTGCATGTAGACTGGAGCCACATATTCAGCGCCACAACGCGACTGTAGAGGCAGTCACCCCGGTTTACAGTCGGGACTGGACCAGAGATAAAAACACACAACCCGGAGGACTGGAGAAGGCGGAATAGATCCATAAAATGCTTCTTTGTGACCTCGGACTGCTGCAGCTTCATGTCGTTGATCCCCACATGCACGATTACCTTGGATATGGTATCGGGCAGGGAGTGAAGCAGAGGAGGGAGACGGATGAGCAGGTCTGGTACAGTGGCTCCGGGAAAACACTGAGTGACCGCGTTAAAAAAGCGGACGTGTCTCACGATGGAATCTCCAACAATCAAAGTAGTCGGGGCGAAGAGTGGACGTAGCCGCGGAGAGGGCGCTCGGTGTCCATGGCCAGAACCAGCGGGCTCATCCAGGGATGGGTCCGAACCAGGGCGCTGCTGAACACATGGAGGGGAGCGGGGGTGTTGATTCCCAGCTCCGGGCAACCCACGCTGTGTGCTCGGAGACGCTGGAGCGGCGTGAGGAGCAGGCTCGGGTCGCTGCTGCTGACCCGGTGAAGGTAATTGCTACGTCCCTTAGGACTTCGCTCGTGGGACACAACGCGGAGCCGTAGGAAAATGTACTCCAGCAGGCCAGCGAAGGGTGATTGAGCTCCGCCCGAGCAGACCCTCACAAAGTTGAGAGGACTCAGGGCAGAAGAAACCATGCGTGTTACAGGCCCACTCCTACAAGGATACCCCACGTAACACGATATAGGTCATCCGTAGTCACAGGAGCTCTCCCAAAGGGCTCCTGACGTGGACTACCAGACCGACCAAAACACAAATATAAGTACCGCACCAGTAGGATGCCTCTCCCAAGAGCCTCTGAACCAGGGGGGAAAGTACCACCCGAAGGCCCCCTCAGAGGAGGGACCTACGGTCTAACTCAGTCGCTTGCATCCGCACGGAAAAGGGCCACCGACCTGGTCCGACACATCCAAAAGATAAGACCGGACGAAAGGAGGGGCCGAAGCCCAAGAAGCCGCACGGCATACGTTCCTCGACCGACACCCCCCTGAAGAAGGGCCTTAGAGGCGCCATCCCACGCGTGGATGGCGGACCGAAGCCCACCGGGAGGGCCAGACCCTACGTCTGATACAATGCCCGCGCACAGCCGTGGCAACCCAGTGCGCCAGCCGCTGAGCAGACAGCGGGGGCCCTTGTTCTTGGAGGCCCAGACACACAAACAGTGGCCACCCAACCTGATGACCGACGTCACATGGCCAGGTAATGCCTCAGCATTCTGACGGACACAGAAGGTGCCGCCGCTCCTCTCGGGGGAGGCATGCGGTGGCGGATAGAAAAGCCCTATCCTTGATGACTCTCGACTACAGGCCGAAGTGATGACCTTGGGGAGAAAGCCGGATTGGGGCCCACATACACCATTTGCCGTCGCCCTCTCCAAGGACAGGCAAGAGCATGGACAGAGAGCGCACACAGTCGCCCGCCTCTTAGCAGGACGCCAAACGCCAAAGAGGGCCGTCTTAAAGCGACACACTCGGGGGACTCGCACTGCCGCCGGTTCAAAAGGCGGACCCGAACAGCCACCTAAGGGACCACATGAGGTCCCAAACCGGGGCGTTTCTTGGAGCGGTGGCACCTCTGCGCGCCCCCCGCAGAACAAAACGTTTAACCAACGGATGAGAGGCAGGGCCTGTGAACCCCCCGAATCCGTCGTTGACCCGAAGTCAACGCTGCCGCGAACACCGCATGGTGGCGACAGCCCTCCTTGTCAAAGAGCTCCTGTAGGATCCAGGACCCTCCAGCGGGCACTCCTGGGATCCCAGGAACGAAAACCGCACCAGTCGCTAAAGAGCCTCCACCTCTTGGCGTAGGCCCTCACAGGTGGGGACGGCGCCCTCGCCCCCTGAGTGGTCTCCACCACGGCAGGGGAAGACCCAGGTCTCGAGGTTCCGCCTCTCAACCTCCAACCGAGCCTGCGGCAGATTACTCGGGCTGAAAACAGGGCTCCTCCCCCCTGGACTAGAGCCCCCGGCTCGTCCGGGAGGGCCCAGGGCTCCATCACCGCCATGCCCTTCAGGAAGGGGAACCACCGGGCTGCGGACTGTCGGCGCCACCAGGATCACCGACCTCCTCTCTGTTCGCTCCTCCGCAGCAGGACCGGAGGAGACGCATCGGTGGGGAACGGTACAGCAGGCCCTGCCAGGGGTAATGAGCCAGAGCGTCACGTCTAAAGGCGGCGGGTCCGCGGCCCTTGAGGGCGAACCAGGACGGGCACTGTGCGTTTCCTGCCACTGGCGAAAAAAGGTCGACCACTGGGACGGCCGAACCTCCGCCAGATCTCCGCCAAGCTACCCTGGGGCCAGGCCCACCTCGTCCTGGAGTGGGCCCCCCCCTGGACATCCCTTATCGGGCCCACGTTACGGACCCCGGGACGTGGCGCGCCTGAGAGACAGGAGTGAAGCGCCGCCCACAGCAGCGTCACCTTCGCCATGTAGCGATGGGGAAGAGCGGGGGGGGACCTGGTGCCCCCCTGCTGTTCAGATAGGAGAACCACTGTGGTGTTGTCTGAGCGCACACATCCACGTGTCTTCCCCTGACAGGCTGAGGAGCAAAGGCAGCAGTACCCTGTGACACTGCCTCCATCTCCAGCAGGTTGATGTGACGGGCTGAGTCCGAACCAGCAAGCCTCCTACAGAACTCTCGGCCGAGGACCCCGCCCCTATCCTTCGAGCGCCGCGTCCGTGAACCCATCTCCACGTGAGACACGGCGCCGGCCAGAGTCACTCCGTCCCGTAGAAGACCCGGAGTGAGCCCAGAACCTGATGTTTCCGATGCTGCCACTTGGGGAACCAGATCAGCCTCCCCCCGTCACGGGAGGGGTGAAGCCTGAGGCGTGAGACCCACCTCTGAAAATTCCTCATGTGGAGAGGCCTAGCCGCACCACAGCAATTGAGCCGCGCCATCATTCCCAGCAGGGACCTGAGGGCCGAGCGGGGACTCTGGGGGGCGCCAGAACTCCCCGGGCAGACGGGTAGTGTTATCGTCTGTCCAAACATGGACCATGCAGCACGGAATGTACAGAGTCTAGCTGCAGACCGAGATTGATATGGCGCTGAGCCGGTTGCAGCCTGCTTCTACTCATCGGTTGCTACGTCCCCTAGGGACTTCGCTAGTGGGATATCACGTGCACCTATTTTCGCCCCTTTTTTTTTTTTTGTTTTTTTTCTAGAACTTAAGTTACAAAGGTAACTGATAATTTTCTCATGTTAACCACAAAGCCCAGGCTCTGTATGTTGGGACAGGACCCATGCGTATGGACTCGACGGCCACTTCCCTGGATGAGGCCGAATTAACCCGACGTTATGTAGATAAAATTCTTACCCCCAGCTACCACGGCGCGAGGCGTAGCCCAAGGGGGAAAACGACATTACTCGTAATTCCTCTCTCCCACTGCGAGGAGCGCAGAACCCTCCTGTGTTCCGGTACATTGGCCACGTGGAAGTACGCATCTGTCAGGTCTATGGCTAGGATTCAATCTCCCTGCTGACACATCGAGGGAGCTGCGTTGTGGGCAGCATCCAGAAAACTGCCGTTTGGAAAATGCACTGTTCAACACGCGCGATCCAAAATGGGAGCACCCCGCCTGACTTCTTTGGCACTAAGAATTAAGGGGAGTACAGCCCCTGGTGGCCTCTGCGGGGTCTACTTACTGCTGCGCCTAGACTCAGCAGAGAGGAGACCTGCTTGCAGTGCTCTATATGACCCGTACCTGAGAGCTGATGCCCGTTACGCCACGGAATGGTGGTGGCTTCTGGGAGAATGCAGTGCGCAACCCCTGCGCAAAGTTATCTCCAGCCATAGATATGTCAGCCATCTTTGCTCCCTCCAGATGCTGTAGAGTCTGATGAGGAGCGGAACGGGAGCAGGAACACAAGACGTCTCGGCCCCGCCCTCTCCTTGGTGTTCTAGCAGGGAGGGGGGGGTGACGAATGGGCCGGGGGGGCACCCTGCGCTCACACCGTGAGCGCGGGGGCGGTCACGTGTCCTGCAGTCCCCAGTCATAAGTACGGGACTGCTCCATCTCCACGTGACTCGGCTGCTGTGCCCCCCCCTGGCTCTTGCCTCATGGAGGGGGGGGCGAGCCCCTGGAACGGGAAACCCCGTGTAGCCTGTAGCTCAGAGATGCAAACACGCTGTTCGGCGAAGGCACACACATAATCACTCACAGTTTCCATTCGCCTGACCTCTCATGGGAGGCATAGTATGGATCAGAGAAACCGGAGTCGTAGTTCGCGTAGTCCACTGCACGCCCCTCTCTGGGCGGCAGGGCTAGCGAAGCAACGTTTATGTGCCCGGGAGTAACACAATCTGAATTCACAAATTTGCATGATACATTACCCCAAATCAGACTCAGAAAAGTAATGGAAATGCGGTCGGCCTTTATTGAAGGAAAAATTTCACCCCGGCCTCCTCTACCATATGGAGGTCGGTGGTGGTGCGTTGCTCCCGCGAGCCACCCATGGGTCTGTCTGGACCCGGGGCTCGTCGAGGGGGACGATGGAGAAACAGAGCGCGGATACGGGTCAGGATGCCTCCGGGCGAACGATCTATGCCTTCTGTCCGGCTCCGTAATGGCTGGTGGGCCTGCGCCTCGGGTGCTAGGTGCGGGGCTAGCCTAGCCGAGTCTTTAGCTGCAGACTCCCGTCTCGCCACCGGGCCTGCATGTCGGGCCGAAGAAGGAACATCTGAGAGGTGGGCAGGTCCAGCAGCTGACCTCCTCTCGCCACCTCGATATTAGCCAGCCAAGCCAAAGGTGCTGGCCCGAATTGGGCCGCTGCCATGGAGCGGCCCACATCCACAGCATAGCGGTCTGGCACATGGCGCAGAGTCGCGCCGATGTGGTCCTCGCCTGTGACAGGAGGTCTCCACTGGCGCTGGTCAGAAGAGAGCAACATATCCAGGGCCCCCGTGATGAAAGTCATGTAGTTAGTCAATGCGAGACCTGTGCTGCAATGGATAACACTATCGGCATCGCCAATACATCCGTCTCGCCACGGAGGGAAGGAGAGGTCTGTGCCGGGCCACACGAATGCGGAGGGCAGCAGGCCATGCGGACTGGAATCCTCGGTGTCCTGGCCACCATCCAGGCTAGCGTCTGGCACTTGCGGCAGGATCGCCGCCGAGGTGGTCCTCGCTGTGACAGGAGGTCTCCACTGAGCGCCTGGCCAGAGGAGAGGCCTATCCAGGGCACCCGTGATGAAAAGGTCATGTTGTTAGCCATGTGACGACCTGTGCCGCATGGGCATAATATCTATCCAGCCTCGGCACGACATCCTGTCCCGCTGGAGGGAAGGAGAGGTCTGGTGTCGGGACCCAGGATGCGGAGGGCTGCAGGGCCATGCGGAATGAATCCTCGATCACCGGTCCAGGACCAGTCACTGCCCCTGACTGTATATGTCGTACCCCGAGCAGGCCTCTTGGGTGCTCGGGGCTTAGGCCACTCACGCTGACCGTTGTCGCCGTACTGGAAGAACGGGTCCATCCGCGGCGCAGGCACACCGTGGGTTGCATCCTCCTCCTTCCTCGTGTGGTGGGAGCCCAGAGGTGCAGTGCTCCACCGTCTGGATCCAGATGACGACGTCCGACGCCGGAGGGCGAGGGGAACTGGACGAACATGGGAAGACATCTCAGAATGAAGTAAGTACTGTGGTAGATCTCAAACGGCGCCAGAGTGAAAGAGGGGTGCGGCCTTGTGCAGGGGCATTTATAGAGGAAGGGCTGGTGAATTGGAGAGCAAATTATTAGATCTCTCTGGCGTTGCTGACCTGGGGGTCACGAGAGATATCCCCACTAGCGAAGTTCCTAAGGGACGTAGCACATGACGTAGATGTGTGGTGATGCACTGGGCGTCAGAGACAGGGGAATGACCACTCTTTCGAGCTGAGGACGGCTTCCTTTAGGAGCGTTTTCTCGCAGTGGACCTGGATCCACGAAACGGCAGTGTCGGCTGCAGAGTCCCAGGGTTCTGCTGAGGGGGGCTGGGATGTCAGTGGAGAGGGCTGCTAGCGGTTTGACAGGCTCAGGACATGGCCACGGCGCTGGATGGCTTCCTCGCAGTTCGGGGTTCCTCATTGTTGAGTAATAATGTTTGATGGCTCCAATAACCAGGTTTTTAAGTATGTTAAAAGTCTGTGTTGGTGCTATTTCTATATGGACTGGGGATTGTGTTCCAAAACTGAACGGCGCGCACTGAGAAAGATGATTGGCCAAAAGGAACTTTTTCTTAGTTGGGACGAGAAGATTTTAGAGGGCAGCAGATCTGGTGTTTCTGATGCTCTGCTTTAAAAAACATAGATAGTGGGGTGGGGCCAGCCATTTAAAGATTGATAAAAAAAACAGAAGCATTATCTTGAAATCTTACCAAAGTTTTCCCAGCCAGCATCTTATATTTGGCCAAGATGCCGTGCAGTGGTGATTCCGTAAAGGTTTCCTATCCAGGACTTTTAACGCTGTTTGTAGAAAGACTTGGATGGGCTTCAGGGCTGGCTTGCATCCTGTGACCAGTTGGTAACACAGTAGGTATGATGCGGCATTCTCATCAAATTGCAAAATAAAATGGCAATCCTGTTTAGTTATTCTGATGAATTATAAATTTGCTAAATTTAACTTTACTATTCGGTTTCCTTTCTTTACCGGTTTCTTGAAAGAAAAATTGGAGTCTATGACCAACACCCAGATATGTGTTATATTGTGTCACTACATTTATTGTGTTACCAGCAATACATACACTGGGGTTTGGTGAATTTGAAGTTTGCTTCCTGTTGTTTTCAATTCAAGTGGCGGCACGACTTAAAAAAGCCATTACTGAAAGTGAAACATGGTTTCAAGTCAATTTGGGGCTGCTTCCGCTTATCTTTCCATGTACATAGATGCAGTGGGTCGTTCTGCATACATTTGATATCAAATCCAGAACACACAGATGGTAAGTCGTTTTATTGTAAATGCTTGAAACAGGAGCGGATCCCAGGATAGAACCTGGGGCATACCACTGGCAGTGACGCCCGATGGCTTACACTGCCCAAGTCCAGGAAAATGGCACCGATACCCACCCTTTATCCCTTTTAGCCTTTACGCTGTCAATGAAAAAGCAGGTGGCAGTGTCATTGGAAATGGTTGCCCTAAAAGCCAAATTGCAATGGGGTGTACAGTAGCACTCAAACCCCAATTAAAATAAGCAGTAGCTGTTTTACAGGCATGTCTGATACATTTCAATTTCTCTGGACGTCTGTGTTTTATTGCAGATAATTAATGTCTATGATTCAGCTTTTTTAATCATACTAAATGAGACAATAATTGGGCGATCTGTTCTCCCAAATTTCATCCACTGAGCGGCGCTGTGATCAAAAAATGACACCGTTTGTTGCCCAGTTCACGTTCGGTTGATTTCATACAATGGCGAATATGGCTCACGAAAACAACAATACGTTGACAGTGCCTGCATTGCGTGAAGGTTGAGGCGGAAAGGGTATTAGCAGTGTGGGAAACCGAAAGAGGATTGTTGTTGCTAGTTCAACGAGCGGATGGTTTCTATGAAGATTAGAAGAGATGACAGCGAGCAGATGTGGAACGAAAAGGCTGTGTGTGCGGAGTGACAGATGGTAACAATGAGAATGAAGTTCTTTCATCGAAGTTCTCATTCATGAAGATCGACAATTAGCCGCGGCACACTTGAAGCCCATGATAACACCGGATTCAAACAGAAATGACGAAAACACTCAACCATTTAGAGAAAATGCGCCGGGCAGAGAGAACGGAATTTGCGAAGGCAAAGTGGTTAACCATAATGCAACGCCAAATTCAGTCGCTCCCCCGCCCATCGGATGGAATTTTGGGGAAGAGCAGAACGCATCCCGAATTCAATTCGACCTCAACTTGTAGTAGTATCAGCTTGTTTCTTCAGCATCAAATATTCAACCTTAACTGCGTGGTTGCGATCAGCAATCTAACATCACAACTTGGAAATCCATGACCCCTAATTCTCCAATGATGTCCCCAATCATACTTTTGCGACTGCCGTTGCCCCGAGAACTTGTCTTATTGACAGTGTCTTTGTATTGACAGATGCTGTACGTTGGACGGTCCCTCCCTTCTGATTGGCTATGGATCAACACGTATTCAAAAAATTTTAAATGTTTTCAACATTTCATAGAAACTACGAACAAAATTAGATTTTCTTTCGCACCACAATGAAATAGTCCAGGCCAATGTCCCACCCAAAGCACTCACAAGTTCAAATTCAGAAAAGGTAAGATATTTCTCCACACACGGTAATGCCAAACACACTGGGACATCAAGCCCCAATCAACACCATCATTCACCTGCTGTTTTTAGTGGTAGGGGTAAACCAGAGCACTGAGGAAACCTATGCAGACTCGGGGAGAAATGTAAACTCCCACTCAGAAAGTCCCTGTTAAGACCAGAGATTCGAAACCAGGGACCTTCTTGGCTGAGAAGCGAGAGTACTAATCACTCCGTGTCGTGCTATAAATGCTATATATTACAGTGGGGGCAAAAGTATTTAGTCAGCCACCGATTGTGAAAGTTCTCCACTTAAAAATAATGAACAAAAGGTCTGTAATTTTCATCATAGGTACACTTCAAACTGTGAGAGACAGAATGTGAAACAAAAATCCAGGGAATACACATTGTAGGATTTTTAAATAATTATTTGTAAATATGTGGTAATAAGTATTTGGTCAATAACAAAAATTCAACTCAATAATATAACTTGTTGGCATTAACGAGGTCAACCGATTACTTAGGTCTTTACCAGGTTTGCACAAACACTGTAGATGGTATTTTTGGCCCATTCACCATGCAGATCTTCTCGGGAACAGCTGATGTTTGGGGCTGTTGCGAGCAACACGGACTTTCAACTCCCTCCACAGATTTTCAATGGGGTTGAGGTCTGGAAACTGGCTAGCCCACTCCAGTACTTTCAAATGCCATCTTACGGAGCCACTACTTTGTGCCAGGCGGAGTGTTTTGGATCATTGTCATGCTGGAAGAACAGCCACGTTTCATCTTCAAAGATGGAAGAAGAGGATGGAAGGAGTTTGGCTCAAAATCTCACGATACATGGCCCCATTCATTCTTTCCTTAACACAATGAGTTTATACAAACAGTTCTACTTTGGTTTATATGACCACATCGACATTCTCCCACTCCTTGCTGGATCTCCATGTTCTCTCTGGCACACTTCAGACGGGCTGGACATGCACTGGCTTCGGCAGGGGGACCACGTCTGGCACTGCAGATTTGATTCCCTGTCGTCGTAGTGTGTTATGATGGTAACCTTTGTTACTTTGGTCCTAGCTCTCTGCAGGTATTTCACCAGGTCCCCCGTGTGTTCTGGGATTTTGTTACCGTTTCATGATCATTTTGACCCCCCGGGATGAGATTTGCGTGGAACCCCGATCGAGGGAGATTATCAGTGGTCTTGTATGTCTCATTTTCTAGATAATTGCTCCACAGTCGATTTTTCACAACCAAGCTGTTTGCAATTGTAGATTCACTCTTTCCCATTCTGGTGCAGGTCCTCCAATTCTGTCCTGGAGTGCTCCTCGACAGCTCTTTGGTCTTGGCCATAGTGGAGTTTGGAGTCTGATGTTTGAGGCTGGGACAGGTGGTATCAATCAATCAAAGTTTATTTGTAGAGCGCCTTTCATACACAGGGCAACACAAAGCGCTTCACAGTCCACATCACAAATCATCACATAAAACAAACACCAGTCCACTCACAAATCATCACATAAAACAAACACCAATCACAATTAAAACATTAAAATCACACAAAAGATTAAAACACAATTAAAACATTAAAATCACACAAAAGAATAAAACCATTAAAACTTTCAAAATTACACAAGAAATTTAAAAAAAATAAATAAATGAC